ATGGAGTGAAGAGGAGAGGAGTGGAGTGGAGTTTAGTTAAGTTTAATGTAGTCGACTCGATTTGACTTCATTTGAGTGGAGTCGACTTGAGTGGAGTAGAGTGAAATTGAATGGAGTAGAGTTGAAGGGAGTGGTTTGACGTTGAGTAGAGTCGAGTCGAGTCGAGATGAGTCGAGTTGAGTTGATCGGAAGTGAGTGGTGTGGAGTCAAGTGGAGTGGAGTGGAGTGGAGTGGAGTTTGTTTAAATTAAATGTAATCAAGGCAATTCGAGTCAATTCGATTAGATTTACGTTGAATTGAGTTGAGTAGATTTGAGACATGTGGAGTCGAGTCGAGTGGGGAAACGGAATTGAGGGGAATGAAGTGGAGCTAATTTCATCCCAGTTCAGTGGAGTGAAGTGGTGCCGAGATGAGTCAAGTCGATTAGTGTCGAGTTGACGTGAATTGAGTCGAGTCGAGCTGAGTTGAGTGAAGTTGAGTAAAGTCGAGTGGTTGGGTGGGCCCGAATGGAGCAAAAGCGGCGAATGCAGTCCCCTCATGACAGTGCACGTGTGTTGGGCGTGGGGATGGACAATTGAGTAAAGGTGAGAGTGAAGAGGCGAGCCAAGGGAATGTACCAGAACAGACTGTTGTCCCTTTGGCGACGCCGAGCATGCTTCGAGTCCGCGCTCAGACGCTGGAGATTTAGTCACGGCTACGATGTCGCAAGCAGCCGTGAGAATCTGGACATTTTGTGAAACCCGGTTTGACTGCGACGACAGGGTGGCAACAGCTGTACCATTACTCCCTCAGTCAACATTAGCCATCGGGGATGCCCTTTTGGTTGCCATGGCAGGATTAAGATGAGAAGACTTGCGGTTCGTAGTGAATATCATACGACAAGAATTCTGACTAAAAAAAAGCATAATTTGTGCTCTCTCTCTCTTACCTTACATTATGTTTTTGGTCAATCGGGTGGTTTCGCCATCAAACTCTCGTTACTACTCGTATTTCGTCAGTAGTGTCCTTTATTCAAATGCATTCACCGTGTTTCGTTTAAGCTGGCAAGGCAACTAACCGCCAGCGGGACTCGAACCATGACCACATCGCCTTGGACAGCACAGGGAAGATGTGAATTGCATTCTGTGGTGGGAGTTTGGATGAAGCAAACTTATATTTGCTGTAGCAATTTATCAGCAGTTTCCATTTTTTCCGTTTACAAGCACCTTTTCGAGACTACCATCAGGTCGGATGTGTGGCATGCATGCACATGAAAGAGGGTGACTGCATCTGATATCTTTTTCATCTGTTTTACATGAAAAAAGGCCATGCGCATGGTCATCAGGAGCAGCACTATTCTCTATTCCAACTACTCGTCATTAGCATTCTCAGTCTTTCATCCTCATCTCTCCCGCACGCATGCTCACATGCTTGCTTCTGCCGACAGGGCCACTTGCCAGCCATCTCCGGGTGGGGTCAATCCAAACAAACACAATATATATATACACACACACACACA